GGATGGAGAAGGAGGAGGACATCTTCCTGTTACTCGACCGCCCGAGGCGCCAGCGCAAGATCGAGCAGTAGATCGAGGATCGAGGACAAGAGGGGGGAGGATAGGGGGACGATGGGAGGAGGAGGAGGAGGAAGAGGAGGAGGAGGATGAGGAGGAGGAGGTGGAGGAGGAGGAGGAGAAGGAGGAGGAGGAGGAGGAGGGGTAGGAGGATGCCTGCTTTCTCCCTGCCTCTGCGTTACTGTGAGGCCTCCCTCCCTCCCCCTGCCCACTCCTCCTTTCGGCATCTGTCTGCCCGTCTCCCCGTGCTATCTTTCACAGATGCCCGCCAGTGACCCCTGAATCGGTGCTCCAAGGATCTCCTGGCCCCAGTTTGATCACCCCCCCCCCAGGACCGACCGGCCCTGGGGGGGGGCGGGGGGGGGCACATCTGGAGGATACTGCAGCCACCAGGAGCCAAGAGTCAGGGAGGAGGAGCAGGAGGGTCGAGGAGGAGGACGGGAAAGAGAAGGAGAGCAAAGAGGATGACAACAGAGGACGACCTGCTCCTTCTTCCCATTTTCCTCTTTCCCCCCCTGTCCGCTCGACAGCCCCAGGCAGACCATGATGTTCTCCGCGACCTTCGCCGGGGGTGTGCAGAAGACACCGGGGAGGGCGGAACTGCCATCGGCCAGCTTCTCGCCCCTCGCGTCCTCCGGGGGGGGCAGGAGGAGAAAGGGGGGAGCAAGTTCTGAGGCTGTCTCGGGCTCAGAGGAGGCTGTTTCGAGGCTTGGGACTGTAGAGCGTGCTAAGGACAAGTCTTAGCACGCCTGCCTTGCGCGACGCCGCGCGCGCGGCAGGGCTACGCGGACAGACCGCGAGGGGCCACAATCTGGCCATAATCTGGCGGGAGGGGAACGATAACAAGATGTCCGACCACCCCCTCGCCGCTCCAATGGATGTTCAACGATCACGGAAGGAACCACACACGCCGAGTGATACCGCAACGCGCCTGATCCATTCCAGTCACTGCATTCACTGCGATTGAGGCACCCGTATTTCCCAGTGTTCCAATGCAGCGTGGGTCTTGGAAGCACATGTGCAAATGGACCAGGGGGACTGTTGACAGTTTCCCAATCGCACGGAGAGGCATGTGTTATTATTTATTATGCTTGTGTATGTGCGTATGTGCATATGTATGCACAACACTTGTGTGTGTATGGCTGCGTGCGCATTCAAAGATAGATGTGCGCATCGACGCGAAACTTTTCATTTTTGGCGGATCTCGGTGCACTTGAGAGCTGCATCGAGAGTCGAAACGATGTGCTTCCTTCCTGAAGGCCACGGGGGAAGCGCCAGCAGCGCCCGGCAGCGCTCAAGAGTTCCAACAAGTGGGTGGTTGGGGTCCCTTAAGAATCCCACAACCTTTTCAGCACTCGCACACGCACGAGCCTGTCGGCACTTCACTGCCAGCTGGAGGCACGGTGACCGATTGAGACGCTCGGGACGGTATGGGTGACCCTCGTGCACAGCACTCCGTCCTTCGGCGGCCGATGTTCGAAGAAAAAAGAAGAACGGCATTCCCTGGTAGCAAATCATGGGAGCCGTATATGTCTTCCTAACTCCGTCTCTATAGCGCATTAGCGTGCGACCTCGTCCAGTACGAGAGAACGAGCGTGCCGTTCGCCAGAGGATGCGTGAGCAGAGAAACGGGAAAGGCTGTCGCAGGATGCCTTCAGCAATCACTCCAAGCCGCCATGGCCAGCTCCCCGTCGCGCACTGCACCGCCATCAGGGCGAGTCAGCCGGGCGACAGTAGGAACCGGTAATTTCCAGACCTTTTCGTAAGACAAGGTGCCCCCGTGTTTCTCTTGGACGGCCTCGCTTCGTTCGGCCAGACGGTTCCTTCTGGCTCAGACATCGAGCATCGCGCTGGGTCCGACCCGGGCCTCTGGGGGCCACTTGCGCCACGAGTAGCATTTTTGTCTTCGAGCGATGCGCACGCTGGCTTTCCCCGCTTCACACATCGGGAACACCGTTCGATTGGAGCTATGGCTGAAGTGCACAGTTGGCCCTCGACACATTCTCAGGAGGCATCGGTTCATCAAAGTGGCTAGTCTACGTGTTGCCTTACAGCTCTGTTCAAAGGAGCAGCAAACAGTCCGTATGTAAGCTTGGATGCCACGCAAGCCTTGAACATCCGAAGTGACTGCTTCCTGGGAAGATCAGGATGGGATCACATTGCATGTAACGTCTTGGATTCGCACGTCGATGCTTCAAGCCTCCAGTTTAGCTCGGATCCGCTCTTGCCGTCTGTCGAAAGCGAACAGTGGCGATATATGAGAGATGATTTGTTCTCCACGGCTTCACCTACATCATTAAGAATTGGAACATATGATTGCAAGACAATCAATTCCACCTTCTTCCATTTGAAGTGTACATTGAACTGGGAGTCTTTCAGAAAGCGCCGCCTCAGCGTCGATTTAGCGCCGTTGAGCGTCAATATCGCGTCGATGTAGCATCGATCAGCGTCGATAAGTGTCGATTCGCGAGAGCCAGCAAGATGTCCTGGGAGACTCCCATGTGTTGTCACCGACGAGACGTTCACATCAACTTTCTGAGCTCCACTGATTTTTTGGATCGGCATTAGAGGCCCCTCCCTGGCGCGCGGAGCCAGCGCCGACACGGGGGTCCAGCGCCTATCCAAAGAGTTCGCGCGGAGCTCCGGATCTTTAACGGTTGTGCCGTTCCTTGTCTTCCTCGCTTGCACGGCCGCCTCGGTTGCTAAGCGGTTAGTTGATCTACTACATATACTACGGTCTACAAGCTCATTTGTAGGACCTAGTGAAGGACTTAGCTAACCACTTTTACATAGTTTGTAATTGACTAGGCTGGCTCATTTATCAACTATTTAACCAGTGGTTAGCAAGTCATCCGTTAGTGTTTATAGGAGTTATCTCAGTAGGGTATAGGTGGCTTAGCTAAGGGATTCAGGAGGGATCAGTGACTGGCTAGCATGTGATTGCCAAGTCCGGTGCCTAGGCAAAAATCGCCCACCGCCTCAATAAATATGTTCATTTGTTGGTTTAGCGCTTCAGAGCTACATGGTTTGCACACTTCGATTGGAGGTCGCTGTTTTGAATATTGGTCATGACATATCACATCAACGCGTCAGGCTTTAGCGCGTGACCCAACAGATGTAGCGTCGCGGCGCTTTAAATTTGTTTTGCACTATGATTCCGAGTTGTGTGTTGTTTGGTTTTCCATGGTCATGACAGCTCCGCTGCGGCGGAATTCCAGTGCCTACCGTTGATGTCACGTGGCATGCGTTGCGTTTGATGTTTCGCATAGCGAGCTGCAGCGCGCCACATTTAAATCCGCATGTTCTGCTGCAGCGCTGCACGCGCAAGACTGATTGCCACGCAAATGCGCCCCGCGCTGCAGCGAGCTTGCGCGGCAGTTTTCCCGTGCACTTCGGGCTGCAGCCCAGCGACAGTTGCATTTGCGCTCTTCCCCGCCCTCGACCCCCGCGAACGCCGCAGCGCGCGATGTCCGAGGCGTTCGCGTTGGCCCGGAAGGAGTCCATGCTGCAGATAATTTCTGACAGCATTTTTTCGGGGAGGTTAGTAAGCGGCTGGGGGCGCATGGAAAGGTTCCTCCTTTCGGAGGAACTGGCGAACAAGCCTCAGATCCCGCCGCCGCATATGGGGGCAGACGTCGACTCGCAGCGGGTCGTTGGTTAATCCATCGCGCGCGCGTAATGTGGGGGTAAACATGCGCCCAGGGGTTCGCGCTCGCGATAACTGCGGGGGCCGCGGCTTTGGAAGCGCCCCGCAGGGCCGCGTGCGACGAGGTGCCGCGGGCGAACGATCGCCTTTCCCGCCTCGGCGGAAGGCGCCGCCCCCCTCTGGGCTGGCTCACTGAAGTGCGCGATTGCCCGCTTGCCCTCGTCGGCGAGGGCAATCGCGGACGCCCGCGGGCGCGTCTACTCGGAGCACCTGGTGGCGAGCTTGCAGAGGCATGCAACGGGGGATTGACGCGGCTGGCGATCAAGGCCAACGCGGCCACCGTGCCGGGTTTGAAGAGCTTGGCCCAGGGGGCTTTGAACACCGACGTGCGCGAGGCCATGCGCGAAACAGGGATTATGCGAATTTGCTGCAGCCGATCCGCTCGGGGATGTCGATGGCGACGCGCGCAGCGATGGGGGTGGGGATCGGGGTGGGCAAGGCGGGCGGGCGGATGGGGGGTGGGGGGTGAGGGGGGCGGACGTGGGTGCAGATGTCCTGCGCGCAGACGGCGTCTGCTGCAGCGGGCGCGCGGGCGCTCTTGGCCCGCGGCCTCTCCGACGGAGTTGCGACGCCAGATTGGAGAGCCATGGCCGCGCAGGCGGCCCGCGCGAATCCGCCGCGCTCTTCGTGGATATCAGATCTTTGCAAGTTTGTGGATTGGGCGCGCAGAACTGGGAGACCTTGCGCGAGGCTTGTAAATGCGTTGAAGACCCACGAAGGTAGAGTTCACTGGGCAGACTTCATGATCGGCTCAGAGTTCTGTGAGAATGTTAATTTCATCGATTGGGGTAAGCACAACGAGAGCTACCCCGGCGTGGTCGCGAGCTTCATCGAGGCGAACTGCGCGGGCGAGTCGGTCGTCGACGGGGCGTGCGAGACCAGCTAACAGGTTGTCGGCGCTTCCCTGCGATGACACGCGCTGCGACCCATGTCGCATGACTGCGCGCTGCATTATTCTGAGCGTTGTATGATGTATTGGTTGTTGCAGTACGTCGCGTTTAAAAAAGGGGGGCGCTTCGCGTGGGTGGGCTGCGCGTGGCGCTCTCGCGTCGCCTGCGTAGCGCGCGCTCAGTTGCCCCGCAGTCAGATCTTCCCTCCGCCCCACTAGGTAACACCACGCAGCCGCTGAAGCGATTGGGCGGCCTAAACCTTCTGGCGCGAGCGTCGCCAACGCTCGAGTGCGCCGCGCTGAAGTGGTGGCGGCCGACAACCTGATGCCGGATCCCAGCGCGCTCGCGAAGAAGCTCGACCTCGCGGGGCGAGGGCGGGCTCGGGCACGTGGCCAAGTTGGGTGCGCATCTTGCCGTGTTCCCGGTGGAGCAGCGCGCGCCCGGCGAGGGGAACTTCCCGCAGCGTGGCCCAGACTGCGCAGGCATTGCGCAATATTCCAATTTGGTTTTGGCGGTTCCGCCCCGCCCCGTCAATCTGCCCCCCGCCGTGCCCCGCCGTCGCCGTCGTCGTGCCCGCGCCCGCTCGCAGGTTGCATCGCTGCAGCGATTCCCGGGAGGCTTTCCTCGAAGACTTTGGGGGGGGGCCAGCCCAGAAGCAGATGAGGGGCCACTGGGGTTGAGTTCAAGCGGCGCGCTGGCCAGCAGCCCGAAGATGACGCGCTCGCTGCAGCGAGCGCCGCCGCTGCCGCATCTGCGGGGAGCGGCATTGCGGCGACTTCCGTTGCCGACGCGAAGATCAACGTGTTCAGGATGAAAAGGCTGGTTTTCTACCTCTCGAAGCATATCGGCCGTCGCGCAGATTCGGGCGCCACGCGCAAGGTGGTCGCTATCTCTGAGGTGGGCGCCACCGTCCAACATAAGCTGTGCGGTGCCATGGTCGGCGAGGAGATCTCCATGGCACGGTTGCAGCCCGCCCCGCCGCCCGGGTGGGCGGGGGAGATCATTGCGTGAGTATGCTAGCTTCATGAATGGTGATGCATGGCTGCAGTGATGCCGTTGTGCATGCTGACGATTAGTGCGACGATGCCGGTGGTGATTGCGATGAACGGCCGAATGTTTTCGACGCGCTGCGTCGCGCCAGACAAGACAGCGAGCTGTCAGATTGCGGCGGACGCCCCGCTCGATAATGACAAGTTGTCTTCCAGGGTGCATAGGGCGGGTTGCGTTCCAGCAGGCGCGCCCCCTGCTGGCGAACGAGGGTTGCGCGATGGTGCTCGAGGGGGCCGCGCGCGTGGCGCTGGGGTCCCCGGCGGTCAAGGCCCAGGCGAACGCGATGCACCTCGAGATCCTGCAGGGGCCCCCCGCCGCGCGCTGCTAGCGCGCGTTCGAGGCCGACGACCTCGTCGCGCACTTGCCCCCCGGCAGCCCCGCGGGCCCCCGGGGCGTCGCGCCGCAGCGTTGCGCTGGCCAGGATGCCGAGGCGCGCCCCGCCGCGGCGACGGGGGGCCCCCGAAGAGGTCTTCGGCGCGCCGCGGGGACTCGGAGAGGGGGCGTGGCCGCGCCTCCGCCGCGCTGGCACGGGTGAGCGCTGGCTGTTCTGCAGGTGACGTTCACAGGAGGGAGCCATCTGATGAGGAGGAGGAGGAGGAGGCGGGGAAGGGAGCAGGGGGGAGCAGGAGGAGGGGGAGGGAGGTGGAGGGAGGAGGAGGAGGAGGAGGAGGAAAAGCAGGAGGAGGACGAGGAGGAGGAAGAGGAGCGGCAGGAGCAGGAGTCGAGGTGGAAGGAGGGGATGGGAAGGATAAGGAGGTGCGGTGCGGCCATCATGCCCTTTCGTTTTTCGTGGTCATTCTCGCGATCGTTCCCTGATGACACTGTCGTCACGCTTTTGTGTTGTAGGCGATGCTCTCGGCTTGCCTTGGCTTTCCCATCATTTCTCCATATTACGCTGGGTGTTAGTACATCGTCGTTATACATATATATACATATATATATATATATATATACATATATATGTATTTGTGTATATATGTATATATATGTATATATATATATATATATATATATTTATTTATAGACAGAGAGAGTCCTTGTCCTCTTTTTATTGTTTCTACCTCTCCCCCCTTCTTGTGCATCCGTGTCTTCTGCTCTGCACGCTGGAGAGGATGGCGGGCGACTTCTTGAAAGACTACCTCTTCATCACAGTAGGCCGCGCGGGCTCTTGTTCGGAGACTGTTCATCACCTCTTCTCCTTGATCCTCTTCCTCGTCCACCTCCTCTCCTCTTTGTCCACGTCCCCACGCTCCCCCTCCTTCTCCCCAGTGCTTCCCGCCCTGACGAACTCCTACAACAGCCCAAGAACGTCACAAGCGCACATTGAGGAGGAGGAAGGGGGGTGAACGGGGACGACGACAAGAGCTCTATCCCTGGCTGCGGTACGGAGGAGGAGGAGGAGAAGGATGATGATGATGATGATGATGATGATGATGATGATGATGATGATGATGATGATGATGATGATGATGATGATGATGATGATGAGGACGAGGGGGAGGAGGACGACGACGACGACGCTTTTATGTCGGCGACGTCTTCGTTTTCCAGCCGCGTGACTCAGGAGGAGGAGGAGGAAGTGGAGATGGAGGATGAGGAGGGGGGCGAGAAGTATTTTCTCTACTTTCTTCCCCTCGGAGGAACATGGCTTGCGCCTTCCCCTCTCCTTCCTCCCCCTCCTCCTCGAACCTTCTCTTCCTCTCCACCTTCCCCCTCGCCCCCCCTCCCCCTTCTCCCCTTTGGAGGCGTGCCCCTCAGGGCATCCGGTAGTCGTGCATACGTATAAATACTGACCCGGGGGCTGGAGGGTATCTATATCCACCGTTCCCCGACGTACAGGGAGGCATTTCCCCAACGCGGCGGATATGTATGCATCCCAGCCTCGCAATAGGCCGCGTGGGCTCGTGCTCGGAGACCATACACCAGACCCTCATCTACGCGGAGGAGGGCAGGGGCAAGACGCGCGCGTTGGAGAAGATCTACCGTGAGAATTGCCCCCCCGTAGGATCGCGTGGGAGGAGCGAGAGGGTTGAGGAAGATGATGAGGATGAGGATGATGATGAGGAGGAGGAAGAAGGAGGAGGAGTCGTGAGGCTGATGATGATGAAGACGAGGGATGACGATGCGGGATGAATACGAGGGATGATGATGCTGCTGATGATGCTGGTGATGATGCTGATGATGGTGCTCATGATGATGCTGATGACGATGCTGATGACGATGATGATGATGATACTGATGATGTTGATGATGCTGGTGATGATGAGGATGATGATTATGATGCTGATGCTGATGCTGATGCTGATGATGATGATGATGATGATGATGATGATGCTGCTGCTGATGATGATGATGATGATGATGGTCATGATGATGGTAATGGTGATGCAGATGATGATGGAGAGGGGGATGAGGAGGAGGATGAGGAGGAGGATGAGGAGGGATAGGAGGTGGAGTCGTAGGAGGAGGAGAGGGAGGAGGAGGGGGATGGGGGAGGGGGAGGCGTATGCTGATGCTGATGCCGATTCTGATGCTGAGGATGTAAACTTCGCATTTGACATTCTTCCTGATCGGTCGGCCGACTGACCGATGATAATGATGTTGATGCTGCTGATGATGATGATGCTGCTGCTGCTGATGTTGAAGACGGTGATAATGAGGATGACGATGGTGATGAAGATGCTGATGACAAGGAGGAGGATGATGAGGATGCTGATGCTGATGCTGATGATGATGACGACGACAACGGTGACGTCGACGACGATGATGATTGTGGCAATGACGATGATGATTTTGACGAGAATGATGATGCTGATGTTGATGCTGCTGCTGCTGCTGATGATGATGATGATGATGATGATCGTGCTGATGATGATGATGATGATGATGATGATGATGATGATGATGATGATGATGATGATGATGCTGACATCGGCTATGATGCTGATGCGGATGATGATGCTGATTGTGATGATGATGATGATGATGATGATGATGATGGTGATGATGCTGATGATGGTTCCGGCGATGCTGATGCTGATTGTGATGCTGATGCTGATGGGGTTGATAACGATGATAACTGTGATTGTGAGGATGACGATGGTGCTCATGATTATGCCGCCGCCGTCGACGATCATGAGGATGATGAAGATGTTGTTTTTGTTGAGGATGGCGATGATGATGATCACAATGATGATGCGCAAGCGGAGGGGGAGGAGGGGGAGGAGGAGGTGCTTCGGTATACGACACCAGGTTACTATGCAACCGCCGGCGCTTGGCTGAAACGTTTAAGCCTGCGCCACCGCGACACCACGCCTTGTGGTACCCCGACCTGTCTTCTCAGACAAAAGAGTGCCCCATCCTCGCTACCATCCTTCTGATACAACTGCACGGTAGCAGAGCGAGGTTATAGCAGCGAGACCAGCGGTCGGGATACCCGCCGCGAGGCAGGAACCAACTTCGGAGTTAATTGCCTGGGCAATCCATCGCAGCGTCGTTGCTCATTGTAAACCGTGCGAACGTGCACGATACACACGGCAAGTCTGAAGTCGCGAATCGTTGAGTTGGAACAGATATTCGAATCTAGTAAGCACGGGCGCCGCACTCTCACAAAGAGCAGGGCCAGGCAGGAACAGTATGCACCAGAGATCCATGAGCGAGCCCAGAGCCATCCAGTCGTTAAAGCTTGAACGGAGACAGGAAGGCCCGTGAATAGAACGAGTGGCTATTGAACGCACTGGCGCAGGTCAACAGTGGTAATCGCAAGGCGCCCATCACATGTAGTTCAACATTGGCAGTACTGGGCGGAACAGTACCAGATCCGAGTGAGGAAGGTGATCAGGATAGAATGCGGAACTGGCGAATGACGGCAGCGGAATACAGCATGACCACCTGGGAAAACAAGCAGACACATACCGAATATGAGTAGAAGACACACATCGGACGAGGACGATCTCAGTAAACTGGATGAGGACCCCGGGTGCAGATTCACGGAGAAGCTGGAGAGCATCTAGGCGCGAGGTAAATTGCATGGATTAAGAGAGGGCGAAGTGCTGAACATCTACATGAAAATATAGAACTGGCCTTCGGCCCTTCCCGCCGCTGCGCCTGGATTGCGAGTCAGAGTCCGCAGGGATGCTTCACCGGGTCTTTTCGAAACACTCTCGGGGGCTTCGTGGGGGATAGTTTTGGGCCTTCTCGGGGATAGTTTTGGGGATTCTTCGGGGCCTTTGAGAGGCCTCCTGGGGATCTCTTTGAGCCTTTTGGTGCCCCTCGGGGCCTCCGGGGGGCTTCGCGGGGGCCTCTTGGGGCCTCTTTGGAGCATCCTGGGGCCCCGTGGGGCTTCCCGAGGGCCTTCCAGGGCCGAGGGCTCGAAATGTCCTTTCGGGTTCTCCGTTGGGGCCTTCTCTTGAGGCGGTCTTGGATGCTCCTGGGGCATTCTTGAGCCCCTCTTGGGCCGTCTTGGGGCCCGCGGGTGTCGTTGTGAGGTCCTCCTGGATGCTTCTTGGGCCAATGGATGGCGTGGGAGCCAAATCTGGGGCGATGGAAATGTGGATGCGGGCAAAAAAGGGGGGGGATGGCGACGGCGGCGCGACCTGCTGCATGCTCGGCGGAACGGGCCACGTCGCCTGGGCGCGTGAGACCAAGGGCAAAAAGAAAAAAAAAACGGCACAAGCATGAGGCGTCCAAGCGGGCCGATAGGGCGCGGCAAAGGAAACGACTGAGGGCATAGGGGATCTGACGAACCAGCGAACCAGACGGGCTGCATGCCCAGCGGTAAAGGATGCGCGCCCATGAGCGAGCGAAGGCGCTGCGCGCGCGACCAGAAACGACGCGCCGCAGCCGGCTGCGCCAATGGCGTAGATGAGGCAGGGCAGGCAGGCAAGCCAAGGCGGATATTACCACAGACGACCAGAACCAGGAATGTATCCCGGCTTCTGCGAGGTAGCTGTGGACCGCGCAGACCCGCCTGTATGCCCGCGGGGGGCCCGGGCCAGGGTAGAAACTAGAAGCGGCGCGTGCATCTCGGCAAAGGACGAAGCGTTTGGAACTAAAGCGCCAGAAATGGAACCTGCGAAGCGCTCGCATGCGGAGCGGCATTCATCGAAGTGGGTGACCGATCGGATGAGGTGAGCGTCGTGCCTGGTGACAGCCCCGAATCGAATGTAGATGCAATTGTGGTCGCTGTGTGCCCGGGGGCCCCTGGCGCCGTTGGGCCGCCCGGCATTGGCGCCCAGTTCCCGTCGAGGCACGTGGAAGCCCCCGACTGACTGGAGACGTTGCAGCGCGGCCAGTGGCCCAGCATCAAGGAAACGTGGATTTCGAGTAATTCTGGGACAGCATCAAGCGGGGGCGGGGTCGCGGCGCCGATGCTGGTCTTCGACGCAAAGGCGGTGCTGGGATCGGCGCGAAGGATGTTGGGGGCGGATGAAGATATCGCGTTCGATGGGGGCAGTCGCGGCCGATTGCGGGGCCATCTTGAGCGCGGGGCCTCGGCCGAGAGAACCGCGATTCACTGGCCCAGTGGGGCGCTCGGACATCAATGCCTTTGCAGATCGCGGCGAGAAGTCTGCCCAGCTGGCGGGTGAGGCGGGCGGCAAGATGGATTTTCCAAGGCAGGGGTTCTCTCGGGAGAGCATGTCTGATTGGGCGCCGCGAGCCCTGGCGATCGAACGGTGGAAGTTGATGACGAACGGGAAGCGTGCGGGGGTCGATGCGACGGCGCCGGCGCAATTGCAAGCGGCATGATCGAGGTGGAAGACGCGCTTATAATTGAGGAAGCTGCGGTGGTGAAGAGAGTGATTCGCGACCCTCGCGCTAGCGAGGCAGAAGTGGGAGCCCGCGACGTTCGCCCGCCGCCGCGCCGCAGCCGGCGCGCCCGCTGCGCGCGCGGCAGGGCGAAAAGGGGGGAGCTCGCGAAATGAGGGGCCCAGTCGCTACGGAACGCCCGCGGTCTCCGCCGACGACGCGCGGCCGAATGGCAAGCGCTCGCGGAGCTCATGCAGGAGAGAACGAAGTGGGGGCATTGAAACGGGCGGCCTGGTATCGGTCGTGCGCCGCAAATAAATGAGGTTAATCTGGGGCAGAATCATGTCCCACAAGGGCGCGGGCAGTTACTCCGCCGAAGTAAC